TTGCCAAGTAGGAATGACACATCGAAATTTCTTTGCCAGCGTACCCCATGTTAAATGGACTTGCCTTGGACATTGCATGTGTCTTTGAGAAAGGTGACCCTGCTCAAGGACCAGGGTGGATCCAGGATTAGGGTGTATCCTGCAGGTTTTAGGAAGTATCCGGGTTTAAGATAATTTGAGTTTAAGGCGTTTCCAGTTTAAGACAATCTGAGTTTAGAGGGAAGTTCCAGGTTGAAGATTATTGCTGCTGGGAATAGGGCCTTCCTGCTGCCTGAGTTCCCACTGAGTTCTCGTGGAACTGAGAAAGTATTTTGGGATGTGAATTGGCGGGCAGAATTTAGATTTCCCCTGAACGTGTGTGGAGGCCCGTGTGAGTTCGGGAATAAAGAATTGCTGTTTGAATCTACAAGGTGTGTGGTGGCTCGTGATTCAGTGCCCAGCCCAGACATTGGCAATAGGTCAGTGGTAGAGCCTGTGCTTAGCATGCCTGAAGCCCTGGGTTCAATTCCAAACACAGAAACAAAACAAAACTTAGCAATGTGATGGGAAGTATAGATGCAAAACTTGTCAGAGCTATTCCTGCGTAGTCATGAGTACAAACCCAAAATTTAAACATCAAAGAGAAAGAATTTAGGCTTCATTTGAGAAGATAATGAAAAGGATAGCATAGTTAGGAAGTGATTGCAAAAGTCCCATAATAGATGACTAAATCAAGATGGTAGTAGAAAAAGATGATGAAATTGAGAAATGTAGTAAATACAAAAGATAAGCTTTGTGAAGGCATAGGTCTGATTGGTCACATCTGTATCTCTACTGGTCTCTAGTTTGATAAATATTTGACTTAAATATTTGATAAATGATTTAATAATTAAGATATGTGGTTGGTGGTATTTTATAATGATAGAGCTAGGCTGCTTGTGTTCAAATTGAGCTTTTCTGCTTAATAGCTCTATGACTTTGAGAAAATTATTTGACCTCTAGGCCTCACTTTCTTATCTGTAAAATAAGGCTATATATTGGTATCTAGATTATCTGGTATTCTTGTCAGTGGAAAAAGTTTAAATAGTTCCCAGAGAGGGAGAAACTTGATTTAGGACAGGTGGGGTTCTTGGCATAGTTGATGGAAAAGAATTTCAGCATGCTGTATTCAGAGACCCAGAGATTTATTTAGGAAAGCAGATAACATTCAAAGGAAATGGGTGTTAGCTCAATAAAGGGATGTGCTTTTAGAGTTCTTGCTCCTCTTTTAAAGGAAACTTAGGAAATTTGGAAAGTGTTGGGTATGGGAAAGATGTAGGGATGACATCAATCTGGGATTCACAAGATGGTTTATAATGGTGGTTCAAGTTTGTAAGGGTCCGGCGGAACGTCGGAGAAAGAGACCACACAAGAGACTGACTCCATGCAATTGGCAAAAGGGGATTTATTGGGGATCCATTCCACCTCGCTGGGACTCTGTGCTCACTCAAGAAGGGAGAGCAGCCCAGAGCCCCAAGCAGAGGTTAAGCAGAGCTTAAGTACACTTTTTGGGGAGGGCGGGAAGCTTTTCATACATCACAACAAATCATCATGAGGCGAGGGAAAATTGAACAACAACTCTAAGACATGATTAGCACATTCATTGGCGGGAACCGGCAGGGCGGGGGTGATTGGTCACTCCTAAGCAGGGTACACATTCAAATTGATTGGTTCGGGCCCTGTGACAAACTGCACAGGGCCCTAGGCTAAATGGCCAGTAGAGTGTTGTCTTATCTCAGAAATCTGGGTGTAACAGAGGAATTTAATAATACCTAATCTTACATTCAAGCTTTCCAGCTTAGAAATTTTACCCTTTCAAGTTCACCTATTGAATCTGGTTATTCTCAACATCCTTAGCTTGACTGGTTTCCACTATTTGAATAATAGAAAATGCTGGAAAGGGGCTGGGATGTGGCTCAAGCGGTGGCGCACTCGCCTGGCATGCGGGGGCCCCAGGTTTGATCCTCAGCACCACCTACAAACAAAGATGTTGTGTCCGCCAAAAACTAGAAAATAAATATTAAAAAAATTCTCTCTCCCGATGTGATTCTGCAATCTTTGTAATGTTTTGAACAACCAATAAAAAAATAAAAAAATAAATTCTCTCTCTTTAAAAAAAAAAAGGAAAAGAAAATGCTGGAAAGTCCCCTAAATTATAGGATTTCTTAAAATATTACACCCCTCTTGTTTGATCTATTTTTGATGGGCTAATTAACAGTAGACAAGGTAATTATCATAAGTGAGTGATTTTACAGGTAACTCCAAGATTTACACATTCCCCAGAAATTTGGGAATGATAGGCCTGGGAATCTGGCTTGGGGGGGGGGCGTGGCACACCTGGAAAGGTATATAGAACCTCATATTAAAATTATATTTCCTTGTCCTTATGTCTCTTTTCTACCTTGTTTAAAGTTTCTTCAATCCTATCTCAGTTTTGAGATTTAAATGAAGTTAATATGTAAAGTGCTTAGAGGAGTGACTGAATATGTACTGAGCTACATAAAACTAGTGTAATTTTTTTAATGGTGAAATTGTATTGTTAACCCTTCAGAAGTGGAAAAACTTTTTTTTTTTTTTTTTGAGAAGGAAGAGTAATACATTGTGTGTTAACTTGGCAGTCCAGGAGAGACTGGGGAATAGGGAGAAAAGATGGGACAGAACTCCGATTCCTACCACTTCTCACTGACACCCCCTCCCTCGCCCCCCACCTCAAGCCCTCCCATCTCCTGACAAGCTCCAGTCACACTGGCCTCTGCAGTACCTGCAACAGTCATGTTCTTTCCTGCCTTAAGACCTTCCCACTGCTGTATCCTTGATTTGGAAGAGCATAGAGGCTAGACTCAACAAATACTGGTTTAATGATTCAATAGGTGAACCTGAAACTCCTTTAAATGGAGTACATGTTAAATATCAGAGAACATAGGAGACCGCCGTGGAACAGTTAGGAAAGAAGATAAAAAGTGAGTGCAGGAAAGAGGAGTCAGCAAAAATACAAAGGCTATGCTCTTTTTTTTTTTTTTTTTTGTGTGTGTGTGTGTGTGTGTGGTGCTGGGGATTGAAACCAGGGTCTTATGCATGCAAGGCAAGCACTCTACCAACTGAGCTATATCCCCATCCCTTCAAAAAGTTTTTTCTTATTATCCCCATTGAACCTCTGCACTGGGGTTGAACTCTGGGGTGCTCTATCACTGAGCTTATTCCCAGCTCTATTTTTATTATTTTTTAAAAAATTCCTTAGTTGTAGTCAGACACATTACCTTTATTTATTTATTTTTATGTGGTGCCAAGGATCGAACCCAGCGCCTCACACGTGCTAGGATAGTGCTCTACCGATGAGCTACAATCCCAGCCCTCTTTTTATTTTGAGATAAGGTCTAAACTACCAAGGCTGGCCTACAACTTGAGAGCTTACTGCTTGAGCCTCCAGAGTAGCTGGGATTACAAGCGTGTGACACCAGGCCTGGCAGGAACAAAGTTTTAAAGAGTTTTAAGGATTGTGGTTGGAGCAAAGTTGAAATGCTCAGAAGAGGCACGGAAGGTGAGGACTGAAAAAAAAGAAAGAAAGAAAGAAAGAAAAAGAAAAGTCACTGGACTTGGCAATAATTTCCGGAAAGAATTCTGAGGAAGTAACTTTCTTTGAAGTTTGCCGGCGGGGGGTGGGGGTCAGAAAAGTAAGGAGTAGAAGCCAATTAATATAGACTTTTACTGACACGTTTGATAAGCCGGGTCCAGAGAAGGTGATTTTAGGGACTAATCCTATTTTTACCGTTTCTCTAGTAGGGTGAGTGAGGACACAGAGGGAGACAACTAAGGTACTGAAAATAAAAACATGAGGCCACATCCTGGAAATGTTGTGCATAGAGTTGTGTGTGCAGGGCTTTTCATGGGCACTGTGTTATCTGATCATTCCCTGGTCCCTGAAGATACATCCCATGACTGATACGCAAAGTATGGTTCCTAGACCCGCAGTACCCACAGAACAGAGAAAGTGTTAGAAAGGCACATTCTTGGGTTCCGCATCAAACCCATGGAATCTGAATTTGCAGACATGGGACCCCCTCAATCAATTTTAACAAGTCCTCCAGGGGATTTTAATGCTAAGTCCTGACATCCACTACACGCAGGCGACAACGAGAGAGACCACTGTAAGACGTGGCGGCCTCAATCGGTGGGCAGAATTTCGATTCAGAAGCCTATGCCTAGGTCTTCCATTTCTGAGAGGAGCGGTGCACGACCCCAGGTAGGCAGCACTGCAGAGTAAAGTCACCCTACTTCAGGGTTGGCCTAACGTACTAGACTGGGGCAGTGGAGAAGCGTAGCTCTCTTTATTCAAGCCAAGCCCTTGTCCCGCCCCTGCCTCCGCCCACTCATGGCCCGAGCACCCCCACCCTCAGGCTCCAACTTCCGGCGCTGGAGAAGGGGTCCGCAGGGTTGGGACTGGGGAAGGATGTATCCAATTTCGGAACTGACGGGGGACGCTTTCTTTTACTCAATACCCCTATTTGCTAAGAGGCAGGATGACGCGGCGGAGAAAGAAAGACAGGCTAGCCTAGGACAAGTATGTAGGCAGTCGGGGATCTAACAAGGGAATAAAGGAGTCTGAAACTCCTGCTCTCTTCCTTGCTTTACTTTCCCACCCCTCGCCTCCAGGAATGGAAAAGACGGAGGATTGCGGCCGTGATAGGGGCGGGGCGCGGGGTGGTGCAAGGAGGAGAAATCTCGCGATAGCGAAGCGACCGGGGAGGGGGTGGCACCTCTTCCCTCCTCCTCCTCGCGTTAGTTCCGGTCGCAGAGGAGACACCGCTGCAGTTGCCGCCACATCGGGGATTTCTGGCTCTTTTCTCTTCGCCTTAAATTCGGTGAGCCCAGTCGCCCGACTCTTGCTGGGCCGAGATTGCGGCCCGTCGTCGCCCGGCAAAGGGCAAGGGAGGCAGCAGGTCGGATGCGGCGAGGCTTGGGTGGGCCTAAGCGGAGGCCGCCGCATGAGGCCAATCGGATCCGGGGCCTGGATTCGAGGGTCGGGTCCCTAGCTTTGGCTGGGAGGCCGAGAAGCCGGAGATCAAGCCAGAAGTAGGG